GTATCCTATTAGGGACAGCTGTGTGCACAAACAAAATAATAACAATGGAGGTGGGTGGAGGGCTGCGTGTTTGTGTACGGGCACACATGTGCATGCACATACAGTTACAGTCACTGTATGACACTGCCTCCCATGCAATCTGTTAGGTCCTTCCTGCTTTGCATTGTACAGCCATTAGATTGTGCTGTTTCTGTGATGAGGTCCAAAGCAGAGCCTTATGGTGGGCAGCTGTGTACACAGCCTGCACTCTCTGACTTCCCAGAAATTAAAAACAGGTCAGAAGTACTTGCAGCCACATTCAGAAGCCCAGGCCATGTGAAATGAACGTAAACGTTATCTCTGCTTTCAGGTTGGATACCTCTCCAGTCTGACAACTCAAAACTGTCTTTTTCTTGTGCAGGACATTTCAAGGCCCCGGCCGCCCCAAAGAGCTTTGCCAGCCAACCCAGTCCCAAGCAGGTCCAGAGCACAGCCTGGGGACAGCCCTGCCATCCCACTGCCTCCTGCTCGGCCCAGGATCCCAGGACAACTCCAGCCTGTGACAGAGGTAGGCACGGATGGGGAGCAACAGAACTTTTGGGGGAGTAATCTTGTGCAGCTGTGGTGGAAGGGCTGTTGGGTTGGTGGGCTTTGCTGCAGAGGCCTCTGTTTTCACCAGCATTTACTGGTGAAACAATACACCTGGTCCTAATTCTGCAGCAAAACTGATAAACCTTCAATGGAATCAGGCTGTAAGAACTGTTCAGTGCAGGTGCTGTAAACAGTCATGCCATGTTCTGGAATAACTGACTTAGTTCTCCACGTCCCTGGGCATTTCCTCAGATTAAGCTTTTGTGTGAGTGGGGCAGAGAGAGTGACAGAGAAAGGTAAGTGAAGAGCAGCAACCCAGAAAGGTCCAGACAAGGCTTGAGGGACCCCAGAGAGGACCAGAAACTTTCTCCAGCCTCTCTGATATGTTTTCCCTGTGGATCATTGCCCAAAATAAGGACAAGGAATAAGAGATTTTGAGCAGCTGAGTTCAGCTCCCTGCAAACTGAACTCCCTAGCAAAAAATACCTCCACTCCACACATTAAAGGTGCTACCTGCAGCATACTTGAAGCTAGATGTCAAAGTACAAATCCTGCATGAACATCATCATGCTATGGGCAGACAGTAGCAGTTTCCTCTGTGACCCTTTAGGGTGAATGTGCTGTGTGAGTGAGAACAGCCTTCCCCTGGCCTGCTGTTGCATTAGAAAAGGTACTGAGCAGGACTTTCATCTGTGCTCACTCCTCTCTCTCTCTTACCTGTTTTCTATCTCATTCAGAACACTGGTGCTAGGACAGCTGGAGCAGCAAACATGCTGAGAAGAGGACAGCCAGGCTCCAGTGCACACCCATGAACTGGTCTATTCCCTGATGGCTCTGATCTTCATGAGGGACTGGATGGCCTTCATCATCCAGAAAAATTTTCATTGGCCACAGGTTTTTTTCCACTTAGCCTTATCTGTTTCCTATGTGACTCAAGAGGCTGCAGGCAGACTTGGCAGGAGTGCACCCAAGAAGTGAGCCGGTACGTGCCAAGCTGAAACCTTCGCTCTCTGATAATAGCCTTTTCTTTATAGGGACAATTTGTGGTATTTATATGTTATTGTGCAATATTCAATGCAGGGATGGGGCAATTTGGGCTTCACATTTTTTTTTAGCAGTTATTTAAGTGTTTCCAGGGAGTGCAGGTGATGGCCTTGATAGCCTTTCATCGATGAACTAGCCCTATTGGCTTCCTCAGCCCATCCAGGCAGCTGCAGGAGCAATCAGTGGTGCTATAGAGAAACAGCTGTCTCTTGGGAGACCAGGAGGCAGCTGCTGATAATTTTCTTTAGTTCATTCACAGTTTACAGTGGCCAGCAAGCTGGGCCACAACAGAGAGCGAACCATGGAAATATTCCTGGTTAAAGTCACTCTGGATTTTGGTTGAATTTCATAGAAAATATTAATTATTTTCTCCATAAAACTTTCTTCAGCAAGCATTCTGCAACCTTTCAGTCCTCCAGCACTCCTTGCCTTGGTGCTGTAGGACCAGCACGGTTCGTGTGTTCTCACCTGTGTCACTGGGACACAGCCAAGGTACGACAGGGATGCTCTCCCCCAAGAAACAGAGCTATAATGGCCAGCAACAGCCAGTACTGAAACCTCCTCCCCACCACATGGTACCACAGAAAATCTATAGACACTTTTGTGTGCATCCCTTCAGGCTTTTGTGCTGAGCAGTAATTCAGCACAAACCAACTACTCTTCATACCAGTAAGAAACCTGCTCTAATGTTGACCAAGTGATAATACAGCAGAAATAGTAATGACACATGGTGCTTTTGTAGGACAGCTTTGCTTACTCCAGGTTTTTTTCTTAAGGACTTGGATGGAGAGAGCTGTGTGCACTTTAAGCAGCTGATTGATAGTTCTGACCCTCAGAATCTTCTCTTATGAGCTTGATTTTTTTTTTTTTTTTTTCTCCTGGTGGTTTGAGCTTTTTTACATTTTTTTCTTTTTCCTAGGGATTTTAAAATAAGACCTTTTTTTAATGTCATTTTTTAAATTATTATTTCCTTTTATTATTTCCTCCTGGGAGAACACAGGGAATTCTGGACTATGGTCACAATTACACTCTGTTGTGTCTGATCTTTCATAGACAGCTCCTCAAACAGTGTAATTGGTGCTGCACATGTGAAAAATTGTATCACTGGCTTAAAGAAAAATATTTTTGTTCTGCTGGTTGTATTTAGGAAAAACAAAAACAACATCTAAAGCCTGAGCACTCATTGAGCTACACACAGAAGTATAGCTATACAATGACTGAAATCACACCAGTTTTTGCAACTTTACTACCTCTTTCTTCACAAGGAAGAAGTATATGGGGTCTGTCTTGATTTACTGGTTAATTATTCATTATCTTGATCATTTGAGACCTTTTCTTATCTTCTGTATGCCTGGAAAAAAACAACATAAATTACTCCTCTCTGAAATAAGGGATGACGAGCAAAAGACTTTGCCTTTCTAATGGTGATATATGTATATTCTTTCCTATAGATGGGGTATTTTGCATATAAACAACCCTCCAAATTTGTTATTTTACTGCTCATAGGCAGGGGCCCAGACACTTAAATTGCAGTAACCCGTGTAGAAATGGTGCTCACAGTAGTACAGATTCAAACACAGGAACTCTTATGTCTGCGTAAGCAGTCTGTGATCTTTATTAAATGACCACCAGAAAGAATGTTTTCAGTGAGCATGGGTTCAAGCTTTTAAAAAAATGTCCCCAGACAGCCAAAGCTAATAGAAATCCTTATAGAATCCTTTGTTATTGGAATATTATAAACATACACTCTGGAGATTTTAAGTCTTTCTAAATTTTCACGTGTGCACCAGTAAGTGCATGATAATGGGAACTGCAGGAGGAGTAAAAGCTGCTAAAATATGGTATTTTTTTGAAGGCAATGTTACTTGGAAGAATGCATACAAAAATACATCTCACTTTCTTCTGTGTCCACGTACTGAAGGTTTACAGCAATGTTCTCTGTGCATCTATGCAAATACTTGAAGAATGCCATTCATTGTGCCTTTTGCCTAGTTTTTAATAAACTGGTCAGGTTGTCTTTACCAAGTATTTTGTCGCTGTGATGTTTCACTACACCAGTTCAGTCTTTCTGAATGTGCCTTTTATGCAGAGGGGGCAGGATTTCTAGAGGAATTGTCTTCCTTAAATGTAGTCCTAGGCATTGGGAAGGATGAGACCTGTTTGCAGTCTATTTATAATACGTGTAAAGCATTATATCAATTAGGATGCCAAAATAAAAGCAGCAAGTGAATTACTAGGATTATTTCCTGCAAAACCAAATGAGGGCGCTGGTTTCCTTCTGCAAAATCAGTGAAGTCATTAAAATCTTTCAGATCCACCTCCAAGGGTTTTTAGAAAAAGCCTTTATTTCCCTTCCCACATTCAAAAAAAAAAAAAAAAAAAGTACTGAAATGTTATTAAAATAAGAGACTGCATCATCTTCCCTGCCCTAACCTCAAGTCATGTTTATTCAATGATATCCCGACAGCATAAAACTGGGTCTGCACAGGTACATGCCAGGTTCAGAGTAAGCAACTCTGGACCAAGTAAGCATGGCACAGCTGGGTCAGGCTTTGCTGTGCCCAAATGGGCTCCCATCCATGCATCCCCACCCATGATCCAAATACAAAGGAATTTTGAAGGTGAGCTGCAAGGTCATGACACCTGCTAAGAAAAACATCTTTAAAACATTCGCCTGCTTGATCTCTCAGGCTGAAAGCATTTTTCATCAGTCACCAAGAAGTGTTACAGAAATTGTTAGTTCTCCTGATGGGGGTTTTTCCTGCTGAAGCTTTCCAGCCTGAGCAGTGGCTGCCCCTTGCTTGCTTTTGTGAAGTCTGGATGAGGCACAGTGGTTTCACTAACAGCAACACTGCAGTTTCTAATGGGGAAAAAAAAAAGTTGCGGAAAACTAATTAATGCTGTGCTGCTGGGAAGCTTCTGTACCTCACAAACAAAAGTGTAAATTGATTTATCTGCCACAGTCCCAAATAAACAGTTTACAGCTTGGGTCCTGACACGTATTCCAAAATTCACTATATTTTACCAATATTCTTCATCCAAAGTTGCAGAATAATTAAATGTGGATAAGCAGAATGTGAACAGCAGGAGTACACCATTCAGTCTTCATTTTTGCCTTCGTTTGAGATATTGTTCTATATTTTAGAGTTCATGCAACTGCCTAGAAAGGAAAAACAAAAACTAATCAGTGAATCAGTCAAAGCCTATAAATAAATACATTGATTATATCTCTATCCAGGGGTACGAGTACAGTGCAAACACTAGCCCTGCCAACAATAAGAGATGGCAAGGGGCATCAAAGAGGGGCTTTGTCCCAGGAGTACCTCATTTCACGAGGATTTTCAGAGACACTATACATTAAAGCCCAGTCACAATTTGACATGCTCCTTGCTGCCAAAGATCCAGTGTGAGCCCAGTGAAAGACTTGGCTTAACTCTGCCAAACTTTGGATAAGACACTGTTGATTTTAACTTTTTGTCTTTCTTTAAATTGCTCAACAGCATGTGGAATTCTGGCAACAACCTACCCAGATCAGTTTTATGCCCCACCTCCAAACCCTCAAATGTAACATGCTAAGTATAGATCATGAATACTTTGGGTTTATCCTCCGGAGCAATGCTGGAGTTGTCCACTTCTATCAGGATGTTCTTGTCATCTCGGGTGACCGGTGCCTCCTGTTCATTCTGGAGGACCTGTGGCAGATTCCCTAAATTGACATCCATGTCTTTGAAGGCGTGGAGTAAAAACACTCCCAAAATGATGGTTAGGAAGCCGCAAACTGTCCCAATGATGTCCACTACAGTCATGGCCACCCATTCTTTAAAGAGAATGATGGAAGTTGTGATGACGATGGTGGTGAACAGAACGTAGTAGATGGGAAACACCAAAGAGGTGTTAAAAATGTCTAGAGACTTATTGAGGTAGTTAATTTGTGTAGTGATGGATGCTACCAGCGTGATGACCAGGATCCACGTCAGTGGATGCTGCAGCACAGGCTGGCCAGCAAAGAAGCCCTTGATGGCAATACCCAGGCCCTTGACCGAGGACACGGAGAAGGCCCCGATAACAGAGCAGATGGTGAGGTAGATGAGGATGTTGCTCCGGCCGTAGCGAGGTGCGAGGTACAAGATGAGGAGGAAGCAAACAGCCAAAAGGACTGCAGCATAAGCAAGAAAACCTGGAAGGGGAAAGAAACAAAGAAACAACAACTCAAACATGAGCTTGGGGGCCAGAGCAGTACTACTGCCCAACGCCAAGGGAGAAAACAAGACCTCCTGCATACCTGGCTCTTTCAGCTTAAACAACATTTCATCCAGAGTGGTGACCTCCTCTTCCTCTGGTGCATGTATCACCATCACGGTGCTGCCCACAAGGCTCAGCATGCAGCCCAGCTTTCCCAGCAGGTTGAGCCGCTCTCCCAGCAAATACGAAGACAGGATGGCACTGCATGGGACAGAAAAGCAACAGCTGCTATTACTTCGAAGACCTTTAAAGAGGAAGCAGCGTCTAAAATGATGTAGAACACATGATACAAGGACACCAATTTGGAATACATTTGCAGGATTCCTGCATGTTATTACACATTCATGTTGCATCTGCTGAACTTGCAGAGTTGCAGCTCTGAAGACCACAACTCATCTATCAGCAAGGTGAAAAAGTGCTGAATGCGTCAACACATCCTGGGAGACATTCCAAGGTTTTCTAATTCACTTGTGAGCTGTTGGGCATTGTGAAACCTTTAGTGCCCAAAGAATTGAATTCAAGGGCCACTGCAATAGAGAGGAACAAAAAAAAAAAACAACCAAACACAAAACTGCTACATTAATTTTAACTTAATCATCAGAAAAAATAAACCCAGAGAAATTTGAATATAATGGGGCTGTAAAAATGTCTGGAAAAAAGAAGAGTTGTTTTCCATGACACTGAAGCAACCCGAGGCAGGACAGCAATCTCCATTTGCTTATACATTTTCCAGGAACAGAACTTCCATAGAACCTTCAGTGCCCGAAGCCTTTTTAGCAACAGTATGAAAATACTGCCTCAGAACACCCTAAAAGCTCAGTAAACACAAGGCAAAAATAGAGACAAAGTTAAATCAAATGTAGTATTTCTGATATTTTTAGATTTTTTTTAGTGCTGTTTATTATTGAAAAAAATATCCTTTTACTGGCTGAAGAGTGAAGGCAATGGAAGAAGTCACGCTGCTAATTGCAGTAATTTAACATGAATTGTATGCAGCTGCTATTCGCAGCCACACGCAGCATTTCAAGGGCACAGCACTTAATTCAGTGTTTACTGGGTGATCCCCCCCGAAAGACAGCAACAGTTGGGGTATTTTCAGAAGACGTTCTTTCCTCACATTCACATTACTCCAAGTATTCCTGTCTTATGGACAAACAGGTGAACAGATCAGCCCAGCTGCAAACCCCAGGCACGTACATCACCTTATGAGCACGCTGAGGGCCCCCAGAGGTGTGACAATGGTTGCAGGAGCAAAGGCATAGGCCGCAAAGTTGGCAGCTTCCCCTCCGCCCACTGAATAAACACAGGGAAAACAAACACTGGTGAATTACAATATACTTTTTGTGCTTTCTCTTGCAAGCTTGCAAACTACAGATCGGGTTTTACTAAAGGGGCTTCATGCTGCTTCTAAATAGGGCCAGACGGGGGAAAAGTCCCCATGGTGCAAACTTATGCAGATAAAGGGGCTGAGAGTGCTGAACTGGGCCACAGCTGACTCCCATCAGATTACTAAATCACCAATCCAGGCCCACAGCTGCAGTACATCTGGGTCATTACTGGGTAGTTGGAGCCCCGGAGTGCTAGGAGGGCACGGGCTGCTCCTCAGCTATAAATTGTCTCTGGGTATGCTGCTGTGGTTCTCTAGGTGGTTCCCTATGGGCTACACAGTAGGAGCTGAAGGAGCAGAGCAAGGTGGGGGTTTTCCTAACTGCTACTGCTGTGAGGAGAGCCAGGAAAGACAGCTCTGAAAACTTTTCTCGTGGAATCTGCTACTCTCTGTGCAGCTCTAGTTTGGGAAGGTGTTATATTGTTTTGCATATGAAGAAGGTTTGGAGGCTTGCTCTAAGGGAAAAAAACTTTAAGAAAGGAGCTGCTACTAACAGCTTGTTATCACCCTTGCTGCAGCAATGACCTTTCCCAATCTCCTGAGGCACACACAGGAGGCTGTTTGCCCTGTGCCTGGTACAGCTGGCTGCCCTATTCAGTTTTGTCTTTGCATACTTTTTGATTAAGCAAAATGGAGCTGCTGAGTACTACCAGCCCTGCAGGAAGGCTGCAGCAGGATGGTGGGGAGGTGTACTGCTCGCTGCCTCTTCAGGCCCTGAGAGGAGCAGGGAACTAGACAAGGCTTTGAGCTACTGGTGCTGGACTTGTTCATACCTGGTTCGAGTGGACTGACCCTGGAAACACTGCAAATTCAGGGTGACAGCTTCTACTTACTTGTTAACAAGCCAGCCCACCAGAGCCAGTCCTTCAGGTAGCCATGGCCTCCATCTCCTGGGAAAGCAAAGCAGGCAGGAGTTAACAGTGAGAGGAGACATATGGCCCTCTGGAGAGGAGTAAGCCACAACAAGAAGAGTGTGGCAAAGAAAATGGCTTGGAAGGACAGAAAGTGAAGGCATAGAAGTTGTGTTGGGTCAAGAGCAGAAAGTGACAGCTATTGGCAGACAATGTAAATGCAACAAAAACAGCTTGCTTAATCTTCATGATAATGGCGCGCACTGCTCCAAAGCAGCAGATTATTGGGATGGACTGTAGTGGTGCTCCTCACTGGTTCATCTTGGTGACTGTGCCTCTAAAGCCACCAGTGGATGCCTGTGCTGAGGTTCTGGGAGCTGGATGTGCTTTGGCTTGGATGTCCCTCCCCAGGTGACCCTGGGGCTGAGGGTGATGGCTGTGCCCTGCTGGACGCCCTCACACAGACAGAGACTGTTTCCATGGAGCTGCTGTGCTGGACCTTGCATCCCTTTTGGATCACTATGAAGAACCATGTGTCGGCACTAAGGTAAGGGAATAATTTTTTTTATGGCTGTGGAGGAAGGGAACTGGTTGCGTTGTGTGAGCCGGTGGTGTGTTAGTTGGTGTTGCTGTATTGTGTACTGGTGAGGGCCCTAGGTGCCTGGAGTTATCAATATGTTACCTGCTGCTTTGCATGTTGCTTTGTGCCTTAGGGTCTCAGTCTGATCTTGAATCTTAATGTTGCCTTTATATTAAGTTGTCATTTAGTGTCTGTTTCTGATAAACGGAAATAAGTGGAATCTGATAAATGGTTCTTGGTATTGAAGCTCAATAAAGGAAAGTGTGAATAAAAATGAGGAAGCACAGGTGCATTGTGCTGGGAATTAACCAAGCTCTAGTCTTTAACCACAAGCTGTTCTATGGCAGGAGCTTGGGCATGGTGACTTTGTGAGGGTACTGGGTTGGAGAGACTGATAGCAGGAGCTGATGGTAATGGTCTATGCACTGCTAGAGCTGTGTTGGAGAAAGTTGATGTGTGCACATAGGAGGGCTGAAATTCTGTGAGTAAGAGAAGGGGGAGAGGCAGGAGAAGGAGCAATGAAGTGTGCACAAGAAGAGTTTAGGGGGTGCAGAATTCTTTTTTCTGCTATAATTCAACTTCTGGTTCCTTAACAAGTGATAAAGTTTAAATGTTATGCTCTGGTGTTCCCTAGAAATTGTGAAATTGCTGGTTTGTTTGCCTGTGGCTTTTTTCTTGAAAAACTTTTCTTCTTGGCTGTGATTTTTTTGTTATCAATTCCTGGCAAAACGTCCTCAATTAGGAAGGAGTTTGCTCTTGTTTAACTAGATTGGCTCTGAAATGTAAGGTGATGTTGGGAGTTCCACAACTGAAACAACACTGATATTTCATGGTACAAATCCAGTGCTGAAAATCAAACCTATGTGAGTTCACCATTGCAAAGCGGACAGCTTAATGTATGGGGTAGGGATAGAAGATGGATATTGTTGACTTTGCTCACCTGCTGCTTAACAGTCACCTTGCCTTTTCATGCCTTTGTGTCCCTGCATGGAGATGGGGATATTGAATTCCTTTGTAAAATGACTTAAGAATACTTCCTAGACCAGACGTAGGAAGTAGTAGTATTTTAATTATCATCATTTTGTCAGTAGTTATGTAAGTAGGTCACCCGCCAGGTAGGACTTAGGCTGCTGCTGGAGCAAATGTTTGCAGTGTTGATGGGCTGTGCCCAATTGCACAGTGCAACTGAGCTCAGGCACGTTCCTCCACTGCCCTCATCCATAAACACACACCTCACCCCAGAACCTCAGCACTAGAAGAAAGTTATCAGCCAACATGTTGTTGAGCAACTTGCTTTGGATGTATCACTTCTGAAAACTGCAGCAGGGCTCACACAAATCGCAGGGGTGCAGATGTACATAAATAAATGGCTTTTGCTAATGCAGTTCAAGCATATGGGGATGCGTCCTTGTTTCAGGGATTTGGTGGCAAAGATGCCTGATGTATCAATGAGAGCAGGGGAGGAGGCATGAAATTGTACTATTTTGCTCCAGGCTGTGGCATGGGGATGACTTTCACCTTTGTGCAATGGGGCCCATTTCACAAAAGGTCTTATTTTCCTTGCTGATTAAAGGCTGGCACATGTACACTAAGGTGTTGCCCTGCACAAAACTTTACCTGCTCTGGTGCCTCCCTTCTCCACCAGCCGGAGCAGCCCCTTCTTCTTGAGGATGATGCTGCTGCCGATGAGGAAACTGGAGAAGACAGCCAAGCCCAGACCAATGTAGAATCCATAGTTACTTTCCAGCCGTGTTACCCAGGAGGTATCCCCAGTCCCATTGTCAGGGCCAGGGTCAGCCAGATCAGCACCTCTGACCACCTGGCACACAACTCGATGGGAAAGGCATGAAATGGAGAGTAGAGACCCTGTGAGAACATGTAGATACAGCAATTACTGACATGGCTATCAAGAGTGCCATTCAACTCTGTAATCAGTCCCTCATATTAAGAACACCTCTGCACTTGCATGGAAGAGGAGGATATTTGGTGACTGGTTTCTGGGATGCAGCTCAAGCAGCTTGTTGACATGCTGTGCCTGCGGAGCCCTTTGCTGTGAACTGGAAGACCAGAAGGACCCCTATAATTAATCTGAATTTCCAAATATCTATGCTAGATTCTCTCCACTAAACTCCAGTATTATGAGGTTGAACTATATCTTGCCAGTGTCCAGTATTGATCCAAAGGCTTTGGTGCTTTGCAGCCACCTAATCCTGACATCTTCCTGTTGCCTGCAGCTCACTGCTTTGAGTTTAATGTGGAGCAGTGCCAGTATTCTGTGAATCTGTCCCAGCTCTGTGTACTGAGCAGGGCCACGTGATTGCTCATAAGAGGACAACAGGTTCGTCCCAGATTAAAGGTCCCTCTCTGTATTGGTTTTATTCCCCCTACTTAAGGACAGTTGTGTGCTCATGAGTCACAGAATATCCCAAGCTGGAAGGCACCCATAAGGACCATCATGTCCAACTCCTGGCTCTGCAGAGGACCACCCAAGAATCAGACTGCATGTCTGAGAGGGTTGGTATCAACTCCTGCTGGTGTGGAAGGACTGAACACAGGCATGGCTCTCTGCTGCCCACACAAAAAGCACCAAACCCCGGAGCATCCTGCTTGTGTGTGGCTGTGTGGGTGGGAAAACTGCTGAGCTACCCCACCCAGCACATCTTCCTATTGTGATCAGAGCTGGGAGTGTAGTATGGGCAGTGTGACTGTGCTCTGCTGGAATAAAGCACCCAGCAGGAGCGTCGTATACAAATCTGTCTCTAGTAAATGACAAACTTTCTGCCTCAAATCACGTTGGAAATATGGATGGAACAATTATCCCTCTGCAGGCTGATGTTTTGTGGCTCATGGCTCTCCAAGAGTTGGGTCCCACCTTATTCTTCCCCAACGAAACTGCATTAAATCTCTGCAGCCTCCACCTATCCCCTGCACATACAGCTGAGGGTTTGGATCCAAATTAGATCCATTTTTTTTTTCTCATGGAAAAAAAAAAATCCAATGGTTTTTCTAAAGATTCCCTAAGATTTTTTTCTCTAATGGAAAAATAACCTTCATCGTGGAACTGTTTTCCAGGGTACTAGGGGAGGTTTTCATAGAGTCACAAAATTGTTTGAGTAAGAAGGCACCTTTAAGGCCATCTGGTCTCATTCCACTGCACTGAACAGGGACACCCGCAGCTTCACCAGGTGCTCAGTGCCCCTCCAGCCTGACCTTGGCTGTCTGCAGGGATGGAGTACCCACCACCTCCTTGGGCAACCTGTGACAGTGCCTCGCCACCCTTATCGTAAAAACTTTTTCCTTATATGCAATCTATATCTTTATTTTGAAGCCATTTCCATTTGTCTGCAGACCCTGCTCGAGAGTCCATCCCCTTCTTTCTTACAGCCCCTTACACTGAAAGGTTGAACTCCTTTAGCTAGGACAAGGTGGATGCATCCATCTCTCCAGGGAGCAAGCAGAAGGCAATGGGGTGAGGCAGTTACCTACTGGGTAACAACCTGTGAAACCAACCAGTCACAGAGATCAGCCCCGGCTTTGGGGCACCCCCCGCCTCCCACCACTTGGAGCCCCGCTCCCCCCAGCCCGGGCTGCACCCACCATTGCTGCAGCTGTCGTTGGTCTCCAGCGGCTCCATTATCATCCCCTCAGTCCTCCGTGGGGCTCTCAGTGTCCCGGTGCTGGCTGCAGGCACACCTGCCCGGGTGGCTCCTCCTCCGTCGCTGCGCTGCACACCTCGCTGCCCTGGGGGTTGGGGCTGTTCCTTGTGGTGTAGCAAGAAAGGGGTTCAGAAGGCGTCCCCTCAAATGTGAGCTTTGGTGTTTGTTGTTCCCTGCTTAGCGTTACGGCTGTGTGCAGATGCAAATGGCAAATCGTGGGGCTGAGGAATGCGTCGTAGCACGAGGAAGGTTGATGTATCTCAATGGAGATTTCGAGTGGGAGCAGGGATTCCCTCATCGTGTACTAATTGCACAAAGGCACGTTCCCTAATCGCTTTTCTGGCCTTTGAATCAGAGAGGGAGAGGCTGGGCTCCAGCACAAGCACAAAGCAAATATCAACAGAGGACAGGAGTGCAGGGGACGTGTGCTGTGCTACAGGGAGCAGAGGTACAGGACACAGTTTCACCTGCAGCTGCAGTTCAAGACTTTGTGTCTCCAGCCACTAAATAAAATAACTAAAATGTAAGATCTGCAGGACTTAATGCTTGAAAATTTGCTTTTTGATTTTTTTTCTCTCACCATGAAATACACTGCTTGTACACTGCTACGAAAGTTGCCCTTACACCATCAAGCTGTGACATTGCCAGCACTGGTGTGCATCTTTCGCTCAGTGCCTGATTGTATCTCTATACAGCTCTGCTCTCCAGCAAATGTCATGTTTGAGTGTTTTGTGAGTCATCTTGACTTTAATTGGGCCAGTTCATCAGCCACATTCAGTGGCTGGGAAAGGCTGTGCTGGCCAGATCCCATGTCCTGCCCTCCATCACAGGAACATCTGATAGCTGTCCAAATGGTGTGGCAATGGTTTCTGGTGTAGGAAATTAAAGGTTGGTGATTTATCAGTGATAACTATGCCGCCAAAGCAGAGGCGATGACATGGTGGAAAGCAAAGACACTTTGGATCACAGCTTTACCTTCCCTTGGTGGCCTGACTTCTTAAATGAAAAGTTGACTGCATTTGGCATCTTCACTCCCAAATGTATTTGACCTCGTTGGCCAATTTTGCCAGGTTTGGGAAGGGGCGGGATCTCCAAGAGAAGCTCTTCTGAGTTCTGGGGAACGAGGAGATGTGGAGGGGGATGAGGTCCCAGAAGGAGAAAATGCAGCAGTGCAAGTTCGTTGTTAGACATCAGGAGGGAGCATGTGGAGTTTTCACCACCATGAGAAAAGCTTCACTTAGATGTTGCAGTCAGCTGTGGTACGTGTGTGTCACGTCTTTCTGGTATAGGGGCTGTGGAGATGTATATAAAATCACTAAGTCACAGGAATTGCATTTGATGGATTTAGCAAGGCTGCATATGGCAATACGGGAGTTAAAAGCCAGGAAGGCTTGGCAAAGAATTGCCTGCAACACTTAGTCAAGGGCAAGTTCAGACTGATAACGATAAAGCAAGGATGCAACCAGTGCCTCTGTTATTGGTTCATATCCTTGTTTTAATGGTAAGGCTGTAATTAGGGGAATTCAGCTCCAAGCTGTGAGCTCAGTGGTTGATACTCACATCAGGTGCTTCCTTAAAAATAAGGTCCAGCTCATCAGAAATCAGGGAGTCTGCCATAGTGGCTCATCTTGTAGCAATGTGGTTCCTCCTGAAATACTGGTTCCCCAAGCCAAAAAACTTGACTGGAGTCCAGAGGATAAAGCAAGACAGCTTTACATGCAAATGATATCTTTAGCAACATCAAAAAGCTTTTCTTTCTACTCCTCTTCTTTATTGGACTGGAAAAAAATTGTGGAAAAATATTTGTTATCCATCCTGTGTATTGCTATAATGGTGGAAGCATCCTGCTAGCAGCTGATGTCTGCCTTTGGGTGTCTGCTAGGCATGGTTCTTGTGGGAACTTTGAGAACAGGGCTGCAATATTCAGCCATGGCTCAGTGTATTTTGAGATCTGCTTTGAAGAGAGATGAATCCTCTTTCTGACAGTGACCTGATGTAGGGGCAAAAGGAAATACCTGGTGTTCAGGTGATTGCAGCACAGCAACATAAAAGCTTGTAGGACTGGATGTGGTTGAGCAGATAGCTTTGAGCTCAAGTTCTCTCTCGAGGTAACCTTGCCTGCAGTGGCTGGGGCTGTCATTTCACGCTGCAGGAGTTCAGATGACACCAGCTTGGAGTTCCCAGTCTGTCACACCCACAATGGGTTCCCACCCTTGTGCTGCCTTCCCTGTGCCAGAGTGAGTATCTGTGGTTCTGCTGTAGAGCAGCTGAGCTGTGCGGGTTCATAAGGCCAAAATAAGCATGCCCTGCTTCACTTGTGGGGTTATTTTCTCTATCCAGATCAGCAGAATGATCTGGGTCCCTGAGCCCCCACAAACTACGGGGGCTGGCAGAAAAGGAGTGGTGGGTTGGTGATGGGTAGGGTGGATGTTCTGTGGGTAACGGAGTTCCCTAAAGCTTCAGATCAGCAGCATGTGCTGTGAGGTGAAGTGACATGCAGGCAGAGAGTGTTTGTTTATAGAGCTCTTAACTGCTAGGTGTTTGCATGAGAGCTCTACATGAAGCAAAACTAGATTCAAAAGGTGCTGCTAGCTTGCAGGAGTTACAGCAAGGGTCTCTGCTACAGCTGAAATTGTGAAGCAATCAATTCATGAATGTTATTCTCAGTGGCAGAGTGCCATTAATCTGAGGACATAAAGATACTTAGATACATGAGGAAGAAGAAGGATGTAGGTCTGTGGTTTTGGTCATGATCCCCTAGGGTTGGTTATCCAACAGTCAGACTCTCAGAGCTGGATGCTCAGTGCAAGGGGTGGCTCCAGGTGGAGCCATGCAGCCTGGGAGCCCCCAGCACCTCTTGGGGCTTTTAACAGGAACCAAAGAATGGCTGCAAATGGAAATCTGGAAAAAAATAGCAAGGGCTGTCTTCTGGGATGAAAAGTCCCTGTGGAACTGGTAGGGCCGTGGTAGTGAGATGAGCTCATTTAGCTTTGTTTTGACTATGGCCTGTCAGATGCTATTACAGATAGTTCTATAATTTTCCTCCCATTCCCTTCCACAAGTTTTCAATGAAAGTTTATGGCAGAAGTATGTTTCCCTCAGAAACCAACTTTCTGATAGGAAAATTTATTGGCCTGTTTTGCTGTTGGCCATGAAGTTTCAGTTTCCTTTGTAGTTTTTGGCAAAACCTTGACATTTTTTAGCAACAAAATGCTGCCATCATCCCTCTTAGTGTTCTCCATTTGCCAGGTGTGATCAGAGTCTCTCCTCAAATAACAGTTACTACAAATGACAGTGACACCGTGAGATAAAGTTTGCCCATTTCATGAATGAGCCCAATTTTTATTTCTCTTCATCACAAAAGTCATCCCACGTTTGTTGCACACACTGTTGGTTGCTGTGTTACGGGACATATCACCACGTACCAGATGCTTTACTCTTGCAGAAGCATTTCTAATGGATATGGAAGCTTCTGTTAGCTGAATTTTAGAACAACAGCAAAAAATAATACAAAACCAAAATATCATCTTCAGCTGCATAGCAAATATGGATCAAAAATTTAACACTGTATCAGACCACGAGCGTAAATATACCTCACCATAAATAAAACTCATTGTACAAAATAACTCAAGCAGCTTTTCATACAAATATGGTACATTTGACAAGAGCTTTTGAGAATATTTTCTTTTTTTTTTACACCTTCAATTCTTCTTTTCTTTTGTTCTCAAACACACACAAACCTACTGGACTGAAGTAACGCAGGAGAAAAAAGACTAATGTTGTTCAGTGCTAATAAGTTCTGCTGGAGTTTAAAAGAAAAACCACAGAAGTGCTAAGTTTGAACAAGTTTGCTTCTCCTTTCTATTGGATCTCCGAGAGTCAAGTGTAGCGTCATCCAAGAAAGGCATTTGCACTGCCAATAGTCACGTTTCACAATGTTAAAGCTGGAGGGAACATTACAATCATCTAGTCTGACTTTGCTCATTACACAGACCATCCTTTTCCCTCTCTCTAACTTCTGTATCAAGTCAGCAACTTGTCTTTGAAGTAGGCATTCCAAGCGACGATCGGTAATCCCCAAGGAGTTACAACTACTTCAGAGTAATTGGGAAAATGTAGGTTAAAAAAAGGTAAGCCCATAGTCAGTTGACTTAAAGTATCCATACAGGGGTCCATGTTTCCCTAGGAAAAAATAATATGGGCTGTGCAGATTGAATTAGAGCATATCTGCAAGGAAGACATCCAAAATTGGCAGAAAGTTTTCCAGTGTGGAGGATATGGCCAACCCCTTGGCAATCTGTTGTTTAGCTCTACTGTCACAAATTTTCTCCCTATTTTCACTAATAATTATGACATTAAAAAAAAAAAGAAGAGAAAAATTCTGCTTCGCTAAGTTCTTTGAAGACATGAGCCTGAACCTTTCTTGTATAGAGTCAAGGGGGGGAAAGGGGGTGGAATTAGAAAACAAGCTAAAGACTATTTGAATCTGGTAGATTCTTAACATAATAATAATAATCATGTAGATTCTTAACATAAGGACAATAACATCAAATCTCAGAAGTGAGGACCATATGGTTATTCCTAGCTGATCTCATACTACTTGAGCAACAAGGCAAAAACATCTACAGTTAAAAACACTTTACATTTTGTTCATGCACTTTGGACATTTTGCTCAAAATGTTTCATCCCCCAGAATTGGAAGGAGTTTGTTTCTGACAGCAAATCTGAGGGCAAAAAAAAAAAAAAATAGATTTCCTCTACCTTTTCATTCAAGTACACCCAACTGTGTTTCGCAGGTTTGTGGGTTGGTTGTTTTTTTTTCCCAGAGAATTAAGCCAAAGCTACAGCAAAAGAATGCAGTGGTAGTCATGTTTAGGTAAAAAAATCTCCTGTCTCACTGCAAACCTAAACAAGACACTTATATTCAACTTAGGATATCCTGTTCTGTCTGCTAGCTGTGTGTGACTGGGCTGTGTGGCATAGCTCATCCTTCTGTGTTCTTGCTCTTGCTGGTTTCTGCCAAGGCTCCAACATTCCATAACCTATCAGACATCATAGAACATTCAATTTGTGCTGTGCTCAGAGATGGCTCTGAGAGCCAGTCAAGGATCTGTGCCACTTCATCGGCAACACTTTCATACCAAAATAACAAGCACTTGCTATTTAGGTCAGGAAAATAGGATCTTGGTTGGATCTATCTTCCTCGTATCTTGTTTTTCACAAAAAATAAAGTGCTCAGTTCTCTTCTTCCTTCTAAAAATATATATCTGTAAACTCCCTCAATTCAGTAGTTTCAGCATTGTAAAGTGTTGGAACATGATGGAAAACCAGAACTGGCATCCTTAGTGGAGAAAGTAAATAGAGAGCAGGAGTCCTTTGGTATTGTTGGGTCTTGGATACTCTTGTGCTGCTCTTCTTCACAGTGTGAGGGAAACAACTTGCTTCCAGAGGCTGGATCCTTCCCTGGCACCCAAAGGGTTCAGCCCAATCTCCTGAGATGCCATTTGACCTTCAGATTACTGTGCTGCACTGTTTTCTCCCAGAGGTACAAGCATTTGTCTCAGTGATTAAAGGAGACTCAAGGTGTAAAGATGTTCAGCACTTCCACATGTGGATTCTTTGTTAATTATGAGGGAGTGAGTGTGTGGGAGAACAAATGCATCCCACACAGCAAGATCTCCTTTAACACTAATACAGTGCTTGCTGTTGGTTTTCTAAGACAATGCATTCCAGCTGTGAAATTTCTACTAATTAATGATGTATTTCCTTTGAGAGAAAAAGGGCCCAGGCTCTGCCTTTTCAACATAGTAGCATGCAGGTTACAAGGCATGATGGAATGCATGAAAAGAACATATATTACCAAATCTGTCTATTTAAACAGTAATTATCTGCTGTGTCCTGGCTAAAGCTGAGAAATAAAAATATTGCCAGTGGTGACATTAGCGTAATTTCCTCCTGGAGCATGTGGTTTGACCTTCTTTAGCTTCAGGCACAAGGTTTTGTGTCACTGTAGTGACAGCACCAAGAAGAAGCAGGGAAAACCACAAGTTTTGAATATCTCCTTGAAGTCCCTACTGAATTGGTTCCTAGTGTCTAATACATCTGGAGATATTAGAAGAGCTGAGGTGGAACAGGAAACAGAATCCAGTGTTCCTTCAGAATGCTTTTGTGCCTGGAAAATGCTGTTTTTGTTACGCTTATCCTATGTTTTACCTTTTCTAAAGAATCGCATCATTTTTGTGTGATGGGAAGTTTTCTAAGCCTTGCTGATGGACACCATTCTCTTAAAATAAATAAATAAATAAAAATTGGTTGCTGTGACTAGGAGTTTATCTAAAACAAGGGAAAATAGCGTGCCAGAACATACAAAAATTACACATCCCAGCTCTCATCCTTGGCTGAATATCAAAGATCACACATGGTCAAGGTAAATACAACTGCCTCCTGTCAGGAGCAGTGTCTGTTTCCACTCAGGTTAGCATGTGCAAAAGCATATTCACATTAATCCAATACAACCTCTTCCATGGTCCATAAGAAATTTCATTTACTTCATGGAAGATGTGTCTTCAAAGGAGAACCCTTTGAAATAAAATAAGTGGACATCCCAATAGCAGTGG